GCCTGCCACTCAGGGTGCTCAAATGTCCTGTTAAAGCTCCGTTCATTTGGGATCACAGAATGTTACTGTAATAGACTTTTAAAAAATCTTTCAAAATGTATTTTTCATGGGCCAAGCATGTGCTTGTAGGAGACACTTAGGAAAATACAGAGTAGAGCATAAGTTATTTTAGTATACCACCTTACAATGAATCCCCCAGCCTTCCCTTCTCAGTTAACTATTTCAACTGAAAATATGAAATGTAGTAAGACTTTACCTAACATTTTACCATTACTCCAAAACGTTACAGCTCCCCATTCACTGGCATAATGAACTACATTGCAGGTGGGATATAGCCTTTCCAGTCTGACCCGGAAGGAGTAGCACTTCTCTGGATCAAATCCTTGATCTTCAAGACTACAACACGGAGATTTTCTAGACTTCAGAGGAAGATATGTGATAATTAATTACGGCTGCCAATATATTTTTATCTTTGAGCAGTGATTCTCAAATGAGGTGCATAAGATCTTTTTAAGATGCTACTTAATATTAGCATGGCTGGGTGTACCAACATCCCAGTACCTCATGTTCCATATAGGAAGCCATAAGATGTGACACTATATCACCTGTAGCCACGCACTACAGTGACATAACGTTCCTCAGTGTCTACACATGATCAGCAGCTACTTCACCATAGCAGCGCACTCCCCCATTACAGTGTGCTGCTACGGCAGGGTAGCTGCTAAAAATAACCATGCATTGTGCATATGGTGCAGTAACAATTTCACCATCGGGCAACATGTAGATGCACCCAGAGTATCAAAAAATGTTCTGACCTGCTTTGGTCTTTCTGAGTTCTTTCCGGCAGAAGAATTTCTCTGTTCTTTTCCATAGACAAAAGATGATTTAAATTAGTTTTTTAAATGGGTGTCATTAAACTGAGGAAAATTACAGCAGAGTGCCATGAGTCTAAAAATACTGAGAACTACTGCCTTTGAGTATTGCACTATGCCATTTCTATAGCAAAAGTAACAAACAATACCATTGTTTTGCTCTTCCCTTTAATTTTGGGGAAATCTAGCTATTGGATGAATCGTCTTAGTTCAGACCAATCGAATACTGAGTAATTTTGTAGGTAGGACTGCTTCATGTGACATACATATGCAACAATTTTTAACTGTAGTTAGCAATAAACACAATTAGTTTTGATATAAAAAGTTCATGCAAGTGATGTATGAATCCAGGAAGAAACAATTCAATTAAATAACATGAAGAGATGGTAAATATTTAGATAAATCAAATGTCTGGAGTACTGCTTTATTTCTTCCTTTGCATATCTTATTTCTTGTGTGTCTTCTTTTACTCTCCTATTTTTAATTTTCTCCTTTCCTTTTGTAGCTCCCCTCCTCTGAATGTTTGGCCTTTTTTCCTTATCTCTTTTCTTGTCTTGGGTGTATGCAGTAAATTCTGTCTCACTGGCACCATAGCCATTCTCTGAAATGCTGACCTGCACCACACAATGGAGCTTGAGGATTCTAGCAAATTATACTCTTTGTCAAGTGTGTTTTTATGGCATGGGATGGATCTGTTGAACAAAACAATGCTTCTTTTTCTTTGGAGGTGCTTCTCCCATCATTCACCTATGCCAAATGAGAATTGTACATTTTACCCACCTGCCACTCCGTATCAAACTTGCTTCTGTATTGAAATTCAAGCTTCAAGCACCGCTTTGATGTCTTTGGTTTGCTACAGGTGACAGTAACTCTATTGTCTTTCCAAAGGAAGGTTACATTTTCAGGTGGACTAGGTTTTACTGAAAAGAAAAACAGATATAAATTACATAATGGTCTCTCCAAATTAGTCACTTTATCCCAGTTCGGACTCTTGCCCTTCTCCTACAGTCTTCCTTGAAAACTTAGGAGATAAATAAATGTCACCAAATGAAGTGGATCAGCTGTGATGAGGTGTGTTCTGCCAGCAGATCTGCTGGATTGTGTAAAACACACATTGCCCATTGTCAAAAGACAGGAGCCTGATCCTATGAGACAGTAGGTGATATGTTCTCTACTTACTAAGATGTGTCTCAGAAATTCCCAGAGTGCATCTCTGTAAGGATGGAAAGCTGAAATTCCTGCATAGAAATGCACCCCACAAAATCTCTAAGACATGTCTCTGTAAACCGAAATTCCTGGTATGCACAGGATTAGGCTCCTCAAGCTCCAGAGCACCTGCCTGGGGCAGTTGGATAGCGTGGACAGGTCTGGGCTGCCTGCTCTCTCACACCATAAAGCAAACAGATATTTGGCACAATAAAGCAGCAGAAACTATTACCACATTTGCCTTGCCCATTTTGTCATGACCATTTTGGGCATTTGTGGTACAAGGGAGCTATTTGCTTGACCTTTATGTTGCCATAAACATTTTCTTGGAAAGTTCGTTTCCATAGTTGATCGGTTTACTATACTACATTACAATATAATTCAGATCCAAGATATGGGTAATATTATTCAGAGCCAAGATACCACTCACTTGTGTGGCAGCCGAGGACGGTCTAAGGCTATGGCCAGTAGCCCGGACCGTCAGGTGGGTATTTTCCACGATGGAATAGAGTTAGGCACGGAAGTGTATTGGTTGTATAAAGAAAGCTTTACTTACACTGCCGATGGTCGCAGTGCAGGAAGAAAACTTGCTTGAATTACAGTTGCACACAAATACACAGGGGTGAGATCTCTCTTCGAACCGAACCGAGATGAGTCGTCGGTGTACGACTCCACGAGCGCTCAACACGGGGGTACGTCAATATTTTCACGATGACGGGGAGTGGTTAAAGGCTGATCAGGCCCCTAAGTTCTCCTCCAAGACACACGCGGAGTTTGCTAGGCTCCACAGCGCGCTTAGAGTTCCCCACGAGACGGTTGTGGAGTCCTCCAACTTGGGCGGAAACTGCTCTAACCTTTTATACGGCTAGCAAACCAATCGCTAGCTGCCAGGTAGGAATAATTTAGAATTGACCAATAGTGGGACATAAATTTGCATACGTGCGGCAGGAACTTTTTTGCACCGGGGTTTTCTCTGTGCAGCTGAGAAATCCATCATGCAAAGAAAGCTCCATGTGGTGGGAAAATTCCAATGTGCCAAGGCACTAAAAATCATTGGGTTATGACAACTTGCTGTTCCAGATTACCATGGGCATGTAGTTTGACTGATCAGTGGGTGCATATGCACAAGTTGCTTAACTGCACAGTAGCATAGTTCACTATGCACTAAGTACACACATCTACACAAACACATGCTTACTGTGGAGATAATGACACTAATCATGAGTAAATGTGGTACCTGCAAATGCAAGTAGCAAATTTACTTGCAATTAGTTACTGCTCAGTAACACACATGTAGATACCAACTGGAAACAAATTTGGTCCTGGTCAGGCCTGCTACTACAGGGCCAGCCTCAAGCCAGCCCCAGGGCTCCAGGCTGGGAGCCTCTCCTGCCCCAGTGCTGGGCTGGCTCTATGGAAGCCCCAGCATCAGACCCTTAAATGCCTGCAGGCATTTTGAGCCCTAGGACACATATGTAGAGAGCCTGAGGCCATGCCAGGTCCCTATGTCCCCTTGGGCAGGCTGCAGGGTACCCACTCCAGTCTGCCTGAACCCCAATGCCACTGCCTGGCACTGCAGTGCCACGTGGCTGACAGGCCTCTGGCCTCCACACCTGCAGGCTGAGCCAGGTCCTTGCCAGGCTTGTCAGCACCTGGGCCCATTTGCAGCCAGCTTCTGGCCACCAGGGCCAGCTCCACTTACCCACAGTCCACCCCCCAGCAGCCTGCCTGGAGCCTGCAGGTGCTGCAGGCAGAAGCAACCCAAGCAGGGTGCAGGGCCTGGGGCAAATCAGCCTGTGGAGGGCCCTGCCCCCAAACACGAGGAAGTCAGCACTGGATTTGCCCAATTGTCTGCATGCCATGCTCCACCTTCTGAGGACACCACCTGGAAATGCATGTCATCACCGCCAGCTGAGGCCAACCTGAGCTGCCACCCATGCCAGCCCCAGCCACATGGTAAGCCCTGCACTGTGGGGAGGGCCCTCCCTGCCCTGGCCCCTGGCCCCAGTCCCATGGCCCCAGCCCCTGCCCCACCTCCCTGCCTGGCCCTGCCATGCTCTCCTGGCCCTAGCCCCCACACCCGCATAGCATGTACAGAGGTGGAAAACAGTGCAAAACTTTACTGAGCATCCCACGCCCCCTCAGCTAGGCAGGCACAGGCCTCTCACATGCTGAGGAATGTGTCAATGCTGGCGGCAATGTTCTCTTGGCTGCAGGGGCAGGGATGTGGAGCACAGCCACAGATAGCACTTTAGATGGCAGCAGAGGGTTCAGGACAACCTAAGCTTTCCCCCTGCGCCATTGAGGCTCAGAGCTCAGGGTCCTGTGACATGTGCACAGGTTTTCCCAGGATACCATGGCCATCAGCACCAGCAGGGCATAGTGGGTTGGGCACCACTTGGTCTGTGCAAACAGCAACTTGCGCAGCACCTGTGGCATGTGCATCAGACGCATGCTTGGGGCGCAGCAGCAGCTGGCAGGAAGGGGTGGGGCTGGCTCCAGGGTTCCTCCCCAGAGAAAATTCCTGAACAGAGGGTGGAAGAATGTGAAGCTCCTCATCTCAGTCATCCAGGAGCCCTGTTCCCACTGACTCTGGGTGCCATGGGCTGGGCAGCAGCATAGTACAGTGGTTGGCTTGCAGGATAAGATGCAGGGCAGTGGGGTCTGGAACCACAGCAGCAGGTGCTGCCAGGAGCCTGGTCTGTCCCACCCCAGGAATGGCACAGGGGAGGCAGCCTGCCTGCAGCCAACACTCAGTGGCCTGCTGGCCCCAGGAGAGTGAGCTGAGATGGGAGGCTTGGCTGCTGCCCACCTGGGCCTGGGCCTGGGCCTGGGCCTGGGCCCAGGCCTGCCTGGCTGACTTACTGTGGCTCTTGGGCATCTGTGCATGCCCAACCCCTGATCTGAGGTCAGGCAGTGCATGGCCTCTGGTACAGAGCATCTTATCTCAGAAATATTGCAAACTCACAGAAACAGCTTCTTTCCCAAAGATCTACAGGCCCTGCAGCTGAACGCTGGGGAGAAGCTGCACTTGGCAGCTGGGATGGGGCCTCATGGTCACTGCCACCCACCACCGGGGCCCTGCAGATGCACCGGCTCTACCAAAGGAGGACCCTACACAGGACCCTGTTCCTGGACTGGCTGGTCAGTGTCAGAGGACCAGCTGGTATACATGGGCCTGGCAGGCAGATGATGTAGCCTCCAGCATACAGGAGCTCCTACACAAGGCTCTGACCTGGGTCCACTGCCACCCAGCCCCGCCCCCCGACCTGGGCCCAGGCCCACTGCTTGCCCCAGCTCCATGTGGGCACAGAGCTGGAGCTGCCTGTAGCGGGGCTAGGTCCACACTTGCCCTGCTGACCCTGGACACAGGCTGACAGAGGAGGAGCCATCTGCACCAGGGGGCACTGGCCACCGTCACACCTGGGTGAGCCCCCCCAACCCACTGTTCTCACTGTGTGTATGTCATATACACCCCCAGGGAAATGGGCAGAGGCGCGGGGGCTGGCTGCCTGTCCCCGGGCTCTGCTCCCTAGGTGCACCCCCCCCACAGTCCCCACCCCAGGATGGTGCACAAAGCATATTGTAAATAGTTTTCATGGGGAAGAAGGTGTTTGGGAGGGGGGCTCTGGTGGAGAGGGAGGAAGGGAGGAGGGATCTAGTTGATGTGAGGGGAATAAAAACTTGTTCTTCTGAGATGTGTCTGCAGTGAGGGTGGTGCTGGGGGTAGGCAGGGTGTGGGGGTCAATGGGTGGTGGTGCAGGCAGGCTACAGCAGGGAGTGCAGGAGGAAGTGGTCAGCCAGAGCCTCTTGCACCCAGTGCCCTGGCCCCCACTGGCAGATGTATGGCTTTCCTGGGGCCTCAGTGGCGGGGTGACTGCTGCTGCTTCTGGCACTGCAGCAGGTGCTCTCGCTGCCAGGCATCCTCCACCAGCTGTGTCTCCTCCATCCAGGCCTTGCATAAGAACTCCCCCCAGGCTTCACAGATGTTATGCAGCACGTAGGCTGTGGCAATGACTTGGGAGGTTGTTTTCAGCAACTTGAGGCTGGCAGTGATGGTGCACCGGTGGCCCTTGAGGAGGTCAAAGGCACACTCCACTCTAGGGTGCAGGTCTGGCCCTGGCACTGGTTAACGTGGGCCTGATGGGGATCCAGATAGCCAGTGTAGGGCCACATGAGCCAGGGCAGGAGTGGGTAGGCAGGGTTTCCTATGAGGAGGGGTGGGACCACTACAGTGTCCAGCTGCAGGTCCAGCACCAGTGGCATGAAGTGGCCACTCTGCACAAGGGCTGGCAGGGTGGAGTTCCAGAAGATGTGAGCATCGTGGGCATCATGGGCACTGACCGCACAGCTGGCACTCAGGTGTGAAGGCCCTGCAGCGGTCCACAATGGCCTGGAACACCAAAGAGTGAAAGCCCCTCCAGTTGTAGTAGGGCTGGTCACCATGGGGTGGTCAGGTGACAGGGATGTGGCAGGGGCCTGTTGTAGGGCTGCAGGACATGGCAACAATTTGCCATGTGCTCAGTGTGTAATACTCTTTCTTAAAGTACTGTCTTTTGATCAGTGCAATCTGCAAAGAAATTTAACTACTTAACACCCATCACTATAGGTTCTGAGGATTTAACACATATAATGGAAACTTCACAATGCTCCTTGAAAGGTATGGGTATTATTAACTCACACAAGGGATGGAGAATAGAGAAAAAGTATTCTCAAAATCTCAAAAGTAACTTTCCCAACTGATACAGGAAGCTTTTTATAAATCTGAGAATAAACTCAGAAAATTTAGCTCCGTTCTATCGTTACAGAAATAGTTCTCCATGAAGGCTCCTACAGTTTTAGAAGAAACACCCAGTGAAGCTCTATAGCAAAAATGTAGTTTAATTAATTGTACTTGATTTAGTATGTATTCCTCATACTCTATAGGTTTTTGTTCCATAGTAGTCTTTGCACACCAAATATAAAAGACATCTACTCATGTAAAACGCATTAATAATTCCTAAACGTTTAAAACTTTCTTCCTCCCCCACCCTCACCCTGGTGAGGATTTAAGTGCAGCAAACTAAGTTAATTATTGAATTGGGGTCCCACTCATTTCACATGAGTTGTGGAGGGGTGCCATGAGCCTAAAATGGTTGAGAACCATTGATTTAACTTAATATTCCTAATAATTATCCACATCAAAACATCACACTTGTCAAAGCCCCAAAGTACCTTCATGAAAACAAAATCAAGAAACATCCTATAGTGTGCTACATGTAGAAAGCATAAGAGAGCACCAAAATTACAATGTTTATCACAGAACAAAAGTCTTATCTGAAGTGAGACCAAAGGTCATAGTTTGGCTCCAAATCTCCTAGATAGCTGGAATAGTTCAGAGGTTATCAGAAACTCCCAGATCCTATTAATAGAGACTATGAAATGAACTGGATTACTTTTTAAAAAATCAGTAAAGAAAGGCCAACAATGAGATAACTTGAAATCTGTGGGTCAAGGGGCTGGAAACAAACGTGCTTCCAAAGCAACTCCATACAAAAACTCAACAGAAATGAGATATGGTCTGGAGGCTGTTTGAACCCCTCAAAGACACTATCTTTAGATTATCATTCAGGATCTGGACAAGGAATCATCAGTGTAAGTAGTTTTAAGGAAAAGAGAGGTAGCATTTGATGAGCGGGAATCTTTGTTTTCTCTTATTTAAAAAAATCCCCAATTTTCAGTTAAAAAGTAACCCGAAATCCACATTTTTCTGTCATTTAAATGAAGTGCCACTGATATATAGATATAAATTAATGATGTTTCATTTTAATCATGGGAAAATGTAGATTTGGAGTTATTTTTTTAACTGAAAATTGGGGATTTTTTTTGTATCAGAGAAAACCAGAATCCCTGTTGGTAAAGTAGGCTGTAGTCTATGACAATTCATGCCTATTTGAATAAGTTTTGGGGGTCTTTAAGAGAAGGCTGGATAGGCATCTGGCTGGGGTCATCTGACCCCAGAACTCTTTCCTGCCTAGGCAGGGGGTCAGACTCAATGATCTGCTGAGGTCCCTTCTGGCGCTAGCATCTATAAATCTATGAATAAGTTAGACTATAAGGTACCATCCTGTCCTGCCTTATTTATAAGTCAGTTGAAGCTTATTTTTATTTTTTTACATAAATATGTAGGTATGTGTATATATATAAATGCATCAGTTAATACATGAAAGAGGATCATAAACTTACTAAAAAAATTGGTTTGTAGCTTTTTGTGGAAAAGTTCTTCACTTCCATTCTTATCCTTGATAGAGATGGCAAGGGATGGCTTCTCTGTCTTAAACAGACATCCATCATTGTAACCTTGGTCCAGTAAATAGCTGGGGCATTGCTTCCAAGGGTCTTTGTCATATCTATAAGTAACAAAAGAAAATTAATATAACTGTTGCTAAAATGAATTTATTCCTTTTTGACATTTTAACTTTTTAAAATGTTTCTCCCAAATGCTAGCTGCATGGAAGAACTTTTAATTATGGCTGGGATTTTTCTGCCAGCATCCAAATCTCAAATCCTCTCACATTTTGAGATTATCATCTCTTTCATATTGCCTCTCCTATCAAGGGAAGTATGTATTCAAACAGATTTATTATATCTTCATTTTTTTTCTCAAGATGCTTTTTCCAACTCTATACCACTAAACATGTTATCGCATATAACCAAAGGAACTGAAGGAACTTTATCTTGGCCAATTTATCATTCAGCCAAAGCAGTTATATATATTACATTTACACTTACCAGTATAACATCGACTGTTTACTTTATAGCTTATAAGGAAAAGGGGGCTAAAGCCAGAAGTATGCAAGCTTAATCATGTAATGCTCTCTTGAAATTAATATGAGGGGGAAAAAGTACAGGTGTCATCATCTAAGGGGTTCAAGTGTTACTAAGTATTCAGTTGATTTGTGGAAATGAATGTAGACTATGGAAGAAACATGAACAATTGTATGTGTTCGGTGAATCAAATTAAATTTGCAGGGCTGTTGGTTGTAGCCATGTTGTTCTAAGGACAACTGGTGTAGCCTATACTGAAAATTAAAAGTGATATTTAATTTGAGGCAGGCAAGGTTCTTTGGGTAGATGTGATATCTTCTATTAGACAAACTAAATAGTTGGAAAACGTTCTCTGCAAGCTTTTGGGCACAAACATCCTTCTTCAGGCATTGGGAGACTTTGCTGTTGTTCTGAGTTTAACAAGGTAGAAAAGAAGATAAAAGCATGACAAGTCTGTGAAAATGTAAACAGATGGAAGTTTGGAAGACAATGGATAGAGATGGCAGGGGGGAATGTGTAAAGGAATCAAATGATAAGCTTCAGTTCTAATCCTCAAAGGAAACTTACAAAACACCTTTAGTAGAAGAGCCTATGAACTTCACTTCATAAATATACTGGATACAAAAAATCATGGACTTAATATAGACATTGGATCTATGACACATTACAACCTGCCTGAAATCTGATTCATCAGGTACCTGCTTGAAACTTACCATTTGCATTCCTTCACACATTTCCCCCTCACCTTCCCCGATCTCCCCTCCTATCTCTATTCACTGTCTTCCAAACATCCACCTTTTTACATTTTCACAGACTTCTTGTCACACTTTTAGCTTATTTCTACCTTGGAGAACTCAGAACAATAGCCGAGTCTCCCAATGTCTGAAGAAGGGTTTGTGCCCAAACGCTTGTAAAATAACTTTTTTCAAAACTATTTAGCTGGTCTAATAAAAGATATCCCATCTACCCAAAGAACCTTGCCTGCCTCAAATGAAATATCACTTTCAATTTTCAGTATAGGCTACACCAGGGGTAGGCACAGGTATCAGAGTGTAGCACACAAAGATATTCTGCTTGGCATGTATGCCTCAGTGTGGATGGCAGGGAAGGGGGCTCTACAACAAGGACTGGGCCCTTTGTGGCTCTCCTGCTGTGCATACCTGGTACATCAACATCTTACAAGACAAGGTTGTAGATGTTTTTAGCAGTCTGCCTAATAAACACTGCTGAACTCTGAGCTACACCCATCTTGGACTGTCTAGCATGTCTCAAAATTACCAAGAAAATATTTATACAGAAGGAAAATAATAGCTATTATCAGTACTTACTGATAGAGGAAAGTCACATTCTTGCCAGGAAAATTTTCAATAGCTGCCCATGTCATCTGTATCCACTCGTTATCAAAATTGACTATTGTAACATTGATAGAGACTTCCAGACCTGTTTCATTGAACAGAAAAAAAAGATCATTTTCAACATCAGAAATCAAACGCTTGACCATAGGCCAGGGGTGGGCAAAATGCCAGATCCACCCAGCAGCTGGACTCCATTTCCCAGCAGCCCCTGCCTGTGTGGCTGGGGCCAGTTTCCATGGAGACCCCAGCAGCAGCCAAGATGTGATAACATGGGACCGGAGTTTCCATGGAGACTTGCCCCAGCAATGCTGGCAGGGCACACTGCAGGGTGAGGAACTGCTCTGGGGTCAGGCTGGGATCTTGCAGCAGTGACAGAGTGGTCCAGAGCTGGGGCAGAGCCACACTCTGCAGTCGACATGCTCCAGGCAGGGGCGTGCAGGCAGTGGATCACAGCTCTACCCTGGCTCCAGACCACGCTGCCACCACTGCAAAGATCCAGGGTAGAGCTGCAACACACTGCCTACATGCCCCTGCCCAGAGGATGCAGGCTGCAGATCAAGGCTCTTCTCTGGCTCTGGGTCATGCTGTCACCACGGCAAATCCCAGCCTGCCCTGGAGCAGCTTCTCACCCTGCCGTGCACCCTGCCAAAGCTGCTATATCTGGTATCCACGGAAACCCTGATCCTGCACTATCACAGTGTGGCTGATGCTGGGGTCTCCATGTGGGCAGAGGCTGCTGGGAAATGGAGTTCACTGCCGGCCAGATCCAGCCTGCAGGCTGGACTTTTCCTGCCCCTGCCATAGACCCTCATTAAGAGATCATTTGTGCCATTTTAATTACAATTCAGAGCTGACAAAATAGTCAAGAATGGTAAAAGCAGGAATACAGCATAAAAGGACCTAGAGAAGTTAGGCATGTGAGCAGACCGTAAAAAAGGGCACTGAGTTTGGACAACAAAAAGGGAATTAAATGAATGAAGAAGGAATAGAAATGAAAAGCATAGCACCCATAGAAATATGAGCTGAACCAAAGAGCTACAAGTTCTATACCACTTAGTGAATTGTAATGACTCTCATTGGTATTTACTAAATTTAAGGATATACTTATTTTACACAAGTATTCTAAGTCATTTAAACTATTCTAACCTTTGTTTAAAAAATCAAAGGCACATATTAGATTACAGCCCACAACCTAGAAAGAGGTTAATAAAGAAACATGCCTTTCATAATATCTTCTATGAAGAGGTGCAGGTGATGATTTGGAGGCCATTTCTGCCTTAGAAGCTACAGTCTTCATATCACAATTCTAGTACAAGATGATTAGTAATAGTTAGGGGTCTACAGAACTCGAGGCAGTTGCTGGCCAATTGCCCCCCATGCCTCTGATTGGCCAAGGGGCCCTGATAGTCCCACTCCTCCCTGCATATTACCAGATGGCTCCAAACCACCGCTTGCTTAATAACACGTAAGTTACTGGCTTCCACGGGCTTAATCAGGGCTCATGGAAGCCATTAATTGATGCATCATTAAGCAGTCTAATCACTTAATTAAGGTCTAAAATGAAATATCTTATTAAAATAAAGCAATACACACCATGAATTGCACCAGCTATGTACACTTTATTATTTAATACCAACTACATATATTTTATTAAATAATACCAGCTATATACACTTTATTAACTAATACCATCTAAGCACAAGCTCCCCCATTCCCATAGACTACCCTCAGGAGCAACTCTGAACTCCTTGAGTCTGGAGACTTTGGATGTGTGAAGCCAACTGGGTTTCTCTAGATTATCTCCAAAAAGGGAAGAAATGCTGGGTGAAAAAATGAGGGTCATATCTTGTCAACTCCATATTTGTGGAGTCCATATTTGTAAATTCCCCTCAACACTTAGACAAAACTCAGAAGGCCACACAGAATATCTGTCTTTTTATTCATTTTCATGCCACTGTCAATGTGGTTGGAAAGGAATGGGGAGGATGCAGGGCCATAAGTTTGTGACTCTTTCCTCCACCCGTGTATCAGTTAGTAAAGCTGACTTATTATACAAGTGGGAATACCTCCACAAAGAAAAGTTCCTGGTATTTTCCTTAATTAAACTCTAAACTGAAATACCTTATGAAAATAAAGCTATGCACAACATGCATTGTAACTAACACCAACTATATACACTTTGGGTACATCTACATGTCGATGTATGGTGGCGTTGCTATGGCATCATGCTTTAGTACTTCTTTTTGGAAGTACTAAAGCACAGTGCAGTAAAGGGGGTTAATGCACCATGTGCATGGAGCACAGTTAGGTTTGACCGCAACATTGCTGTAGTGGCATCCTATAACGGGTGTGTGCCACTATGGCGATGTAGCTGGTGATCATGTGTAGACATGCGTGATTGCTACATCATTGTAGTGCACCATATGGTGATGTAGCACATTGCCATAAGGGAAACACAACCTTTATTAACTAATACCAACTATATACAGTTTAATACAGGACATTATAAAAAGGAGTTTACTGAAACTGAATGCTGCAATGCTGGGGTGGATGCAGCATCCCATGGAAGTGCAGGGGCACCCTCACATGCTTGGCAGTGGACCCAGAAGTGGACCAGAAGTACTTTCAGTCCACTTCCGGGTCCGCCAGGGAGGTGCAGAGGAGGGCCCAGCCCCCATCCCCAGGCTCGGCAATCAGCCACAGGGGGACCCCGGGTGCCCCCCCAGGCCCAGGAGGCACCAGTTGCCAAGCTGGGGGAGGCATGCTCCTCAGCAGACCTGGAAATGCTTCTGGTCCACTTCTGGGTCCACTGCCAAGTGTGCTGGGGACCGCCCCGTGCTCCTGTGGGACACTCCATCTGCCCCGGTACCACAGCATTGACTAGCCGCCTGGTACCTTGAGGTATGTAGTAAAAACATTTAAAGCTGTGTCTATATCCAAATCTCTGAATCTTTCCGAATCTCTCAGAATTGATTTGGAAGGTTCCGATTTGATTTGGAGAGATTCAAGTGTCTCCTAATTCGATTCAGATTCAGCCACCAAATCTCCCCCGAATCTCCACCGAATCAAATCAGTGACTGGAGCTTCGCACAGCCCTGCTACATATGCCAGGTGTCATTTACTAGGAATAGAACGTGCATTTTGCAGATGACAGTTGGACTCCGGGAGTGGCGAGGGACACACAGGTGAAGGCCTGCCATGCTAACAGGATGCACAAACAGGCACGCTTGTGATGCTGTGGCTTGCAAAGCTAACCAAACTAGCATGCATCCAACAATGCATCTCAAGCAAAACCAGGGAAGTCATCCTCCCACTTTACTCAGCCCTGGTGAGACCACAGCTGGAGTACAGCATCTAGTATTGGACCCCCATTTCAGGAAGGATGTGGAGAAGCTTAAGAGAGTCCAAAGGAGAGCCACTCATATGATCCAAGGCCTGGAGGGAAGGCCATATGAGGAGAGACTGAGAGACTTGGGAGTCTTCAGTCTGGAGAAGAGAAGGATCAGAAGGGACTTGGTGGTAGCCTACAATTACATAAGAGGGGTACATCAGGACCTGGGAGAACAGCTGTACACCAGAGCTCCACAAGGGATAACAAGGTCTAATGGCCATAAACTCCAGGAAGTCTGATTTAAACTGAATATAAGAAAAACTTTCTTTATAGTGCATGTGTCCAGGGTCTGGAACAAACTCCTCCCAGACGTGGTGTAAGCACTTATTCTGGACTCCTTCAAATACAGGTGGATATATTTCTTGCTGGGGCCACTTGATCCCAGCTGACTTCCCACCTATGGCAGTTGGGCAGGACCCGATTATCTCTTGAGGTCCCTTCTAGCCCCAAATGTCTATGAAATCTATGAACAGCATTGGGCAGCATTCCTTGGAGCACATTGAGGAAAGCCTTGCACATGTCAGACAAGAATGCTGAGATCTTGTTAGTCTATGCCATAGCTGACAACTACCTTCACAATGGGTTGAGACAAGGTAGAAGAATTGACAGATATGAGGTGGACTGGATCAGTTTGAAACACAGGCAGGTCCTGGTCTGTGTTACAAATAAAATGTCCAGCATGGGGCTTCATCAGCCACAACGTGGAAGGAATGACACTCTGCCAAAGCAGCCTTCGTAGATTGTACATGCAAAGCAATCACTGCAGGGAGACAGTCTTGGTGAAGCTTCTTGGCACATGGAAAACTGCCAGCATTTGTCATGTTTTGATTCAGGTAGTCCCTTAACTTTGAGTGATCAAGTTTCTTCAGTGAAATGTTCACTGCTGTGAAAGCCTCTATGAGGGAAAATGTCACCTCTCACCTTGCCAAGCTGCTTGCTGTGGTTCTTTTAAAGAGGGAGGACATGTTCATTTGTTTCTTGCTCTGACCTTCAGCCTCTGCAACAGCCTTCCTCTTCATGTGTGCCTCAGACTCCAAGTGCCACTCTGTACTCGTTTTCGTGGGCACACCAGAGCACAGTGAGGTTGACACTCCTAGATTCCAATGAACAGTCTGCTTCCATCTGCATGCAAGGTCCCTGCAGGATACTGTCTTACATGGTCCAGTGCTCAAAAGGTATTTGGCCATCTTGGAAGATTTCTTAGAGCTCATCCTAGCTCTTCCTGAGGCTGGAGCATGCACACTTCAGGAGCATGCCTGTGGGTGCTTTAAAAACTGGCACAAAAACTCTCCTACTTCTCTGACTGGGCTCAGACTGGCTCCTGGACTGAGCCTACATCATCTGCTGAGCCTCTGATTTGCTCCCTCTATCCTCTCTTCCCTCCCCCTGTGCTTTAGAACACATGGGCTTTCTGCCCTTTTCTGTTCTTGCAGCTTTCTTTTGCCTTTTTCCCCCCCGCTCAGTAATTTCACACTTTTTCAGTCTGTGCTTTTTCACAAAGACCATCTAAAATCACAGTGTCAACAAAAATTGCAAAATTGCAATTTTGGTAGGTCCCTAATAATAGTAAGCTGTGATTAGCCGATTCTTGTCCATAATCTGACACACTGGCACGTCTCACAATTTCATTACCTGTCTTGCTATACTGTGGGTGTTACCAATCCATACTACAAAACTG